TAAGTGAACTGCTCTATATATTGCGCAAGTAAAAATGACGATCCATGTTTTTTGGCCTCCTTTTAAAATTAAGGGACCCGTCAGATCAACACCAATAATCTCAAAAATTAAAGCATCTCTTATTCTGTCTTCAGGTAGTGGCGCTTGAGGAATCTTATATGAATCAGAGTCGAACCTTCGACATCGTACACAGTTTTGGATAACCTTGCGTACGGTCTTCCTACTCTTTATGATCCAATATTTTTCACGCAAAGCGCACATAACGAATTGTACTCCAGCGTGACTTAGCCTTTCATGTTGAGATTTGATCAGTTTTAAGACTAATGGATGTTCTGAGGGAAGTAAAATTGGGTAACGAAAGTCAGCATCATCGTCTCTCTGAAAGATACGTGTTTAGGTTTACATGATAGGTTCTAGAGCACGTATTCTTTTATCTTTCAATCCTTCGAAAGATTCTCGTTGGATGAGTCGGAAAACCACTGTTTCAGCTCCTTTTAGTTCTTCGACTGAAATTCTCCCATGAGTTCTTTCAGATGGTGGTGTTGTAGCATTTTTAATGAATCTAAAGATCCAAGATACGACCTTTATGATCTTTTCGAATTTTGAAATATTGTCAAAAAGGTTAAATTTATCTGTATTCGTGTTATTGCTGGCTGAAACCACAGTTCGTTTTCTCTCTCCATTTACTATATCGAAGTCAGGATGTTCTCCATCTGCAATAGGCCACTCTTCTGGAGGTCGATAAATCCAATCTGGTCCTTTCCACCATTCGGATTTCCTCAATTCTTTTGCAGAGCAACCGCGTGATGGCAAATCCGAAGGATTAAACTTTCCGGGAATGTGATGCCAGTGATCTGGTTACTCAATTTTCGAATCTCATTTACTCGATTGGCTACAAAAGTGGACCAATTTTCTTTCTGTTTTATCCAAAAGAGAGCATTTGTGGAATCCGTCCAGTAAAAAACTGGAACCTCTTTTAGTTTCAAGTCTTCTCTTATTGTATGAGAGAGCCTGGCTCCAATAGTGCAAGCGAGTATCTCTAGTCGAGGTATGGTGAGTGCTTTTAGGGGAGCAACTCTCGCTTTAGATTGTATCAATTGACAAGTGACTCCACTCTCACCGCTGTGTCTAAGGAAAATGCAGGTCGCATACGCGTCCTTGCTTGCGTCCGAAAATACATGCAGAGTGGTACTTTCGTCTATTTTGGGAAGCAATCTAGGAATTTTGATGTCTTTCAAATATTTTAACTGAGATGACCATGTGAAAAATTTCCTTGCTAGATCATTCGGCAGATTAGTATCCCAGTTAATTTTCTGTTTCCAGCACTCTTGCAGAATCAGTTTAGGCATGAGAGTAACTGGACTAGTAAACCCAATTGGGTCAAAGATTTTACTCAATTCGGAAAGAACAGATCTTTTGCTCAATACAGGGTTTTCTTCATATTTTACGTGACAAGACAAAGTATCGTCAAACAAGTCCCATTTCAATCCCAATACTGACACAACATCTTCATAATCTTTATCAGAAAGGTTTAGAATTGAAGTTTCATTTTTAAGTCTATTATGTTTCCAACCTCTTAGGTCAAATTTTGCAGTAGCCATTATTTCCTCTAGATCCTTTGATAAATGAGTTTAATTCTTCAATTGATTCCACGCTCGCTACGCAGTTATCCACATACATGGCTTTCTTTAGCTTTGAAGCTATTTCCTGATGATGTTTTGGTACATTTTCCAAATGGTAGTTAATCGTGGCAGCGAGTAAAAAGGGGCTGGCGTTTACGCCGAATACAACCCTTCGGTGCCGATATATAGTCAGTTTTTCAGGCTGTCCTTTCTCCCACCATAGGAACCGGAGAAAATCTCGATCCGCTGGGTTCACACCTATCTGAAGAAATGCTCTTTTTATATCCGAAATTACTCCATACTTCCCCTCTCGAAATTTTATCAAAATTTTGGGGATCAATTCAAGATAATTAGGACCCTTTTCCAGGCAGTCGTTCAGAGATACCGAATTTTTCTCCTTTGCAGATGCGTCGAACACTGGTCGAATTTTGGTAGTCGAATTTTCCCGAAACACGGGTCTATGTGGCAGATAATGCCCTTTGATCTTTTCTGCCTCCGAAATATCGACAGGTTCAATTATTCCCTCTTCTACCCAATCCATTAAAACAGTTTCGTAGGCTTCTAAGGAATTCTTTGTCTGAAGGGTTTTCACGCAAGACTTCAGACGCTTTTCTGCAAGGATTCTATTATCTGGCAACTCAGGATGAATTTGAAGCCATGGAAGTGATACCTGATACCTTCCAGCGTCATCTCTTTCTAAAGTACGGATGAAAATAATTTTCTGTAGCCTTTTGTATTTCTTGTTTTGTTTGCGAAAGAGCTGGTTCAGTTATTCCGATAGAATCAAGAGACCACAAGTCACAAATTTTTCTGTCACTAATGTGTAGTGATAAAAGAACTTCATTAAAATTTTTTCCCTTTACCTTCGTTCTCCCTAATATTGTCCAACCAAGGTGTGTATTCATCGCTACTAAACTCTCCGTTACGTGTATTATTTCCCCTGTAAAGAGTTTTCCGGCATAATCTGCTCCTACAAGCACGTGTATTTCGTTAGGGTGTTTTTCAAATAAACAAGAATTCTCATTAGTTACATCACTGGGAAAAATTTTGTAACCTCTTAGTTTCTTTAAGCATTCCCTATCCTCCAATTTTGGAATATGTGAGCATATGGTTTTTTGGCTCAAAACTTCCATTTCGCATGTGAATCCTGTTTCTGGATTATTTAACTTAATCAGATACTTGTTGTGATTTTCCCTTTTTTCTATCCCTCCAAAAAGCCCATGAGTCACACTTTCCTGACCTAAAGATTTTAGTTTTAATTTCTCCGCAAGAAATGTGCTGATATATGATCTGCTACTTCCGGTATCCAGAATTATTCGTGTAAAATTGCTTTCACCATCTCCGTAAACATTGGCAATTAAAGTTTGCAAGATTACACTTTCATAGGATGAATTATTCGTTAAGGCCTTATTTTCAATTTGTTCTTCCTTAATTTCTCCGTTTTCGTTTTTAAAACACATTATAGTGGCATGTCGTTGTTTACATAATTCACACCTTATTCTAGAAGTGCAAATAAAACTAAGATGCCGTGGGCGTAAACAGCGATAACAGATCCCTTTCGCTTTGCATTTCTCCCTTTTTTTCTCAGTAGACCATAAAGATGCTTGTTTACACGTTATAGACTCGTGATCAGAAGAGTCGCAGAAAACACATGGTGTTTGTCCCCCCCGCAAACTTGCGTTCGTTAACTCCGAAGCTGTGTGTTTCGCAATAGGTCTGGGTTCACTCAGTTTGTTATGCTTTTGCGGCGCCGCCTTTGGCTGGACCGTCTGGAATGTACGTTCCCGCGCAACTAACTGTTCAGAAAGAAATTCCACTAGGTGATTCAAATCGTAATTTGATTTCCGAACTGTTTTATTATACTCCAAAACCAAATCTGGGGGCAATGTTTTAAGCAAAATAGGTGTTAATAAAGCTCCATATGTTTCTGAGGTCATATTTAATGATTCAAGACATCGAATATGTTTCTGTATATAATTGAATAACTTACGGAAATTTTGAATGTCATTAGAATCCTTTAGAGGTCTTATTTTCAGTAATTTATCTATATGGGCGTTTATCAGTACATCATCTTTATTTCCAAATCTTTCTGTGAGGAGTTTAACTGAAGTTTCGTAATTTTCTTCGGTTAAATCGAAACCGTCAATGGTGTTATAAGCAGTACCTCCCAAAAAGGATTTCAAATAATTAAATTTGCTTATAGCGTCAAGCGTTTTATTTTGATGTAATGGCTGATGAAAAAGTGTTCCAAAATGTCAGCCATTCGCAGCTCTCGCCATAAAACTTCGGAATCGTAAGTTTAGGAAGCTTCACATTATGACTTTCGATTTTAACGTTTTCTATAATACTTTCACTTAACTGTTCAGTGCTTCGTAACACATTAAATTTTTGTTGTTCTATATTAATTTCTTTCAATTTTTTGTTAGCTTTGTATTTAAATGTAGTTATTCTTTCACGATATTCGTCAACACCGTTTAATTCCTGGTCTAGATCCTTTATGTTTATTAATTTTTCTATATCGGCATCTATTTGTTTTAACTCGTTCGATTTTTCATTTAAGAGTTCTAAGGAAATTTCTAGTTCCTCTGCATTCACTTCTGTTTTTGGTAATTCAGTTTCGATTCGGCCAATTAATTTTGTAACGGCAGCCCTTATGTGGCCGCGTTTCCTTTTCAATGTATCGATGAATTCCGTCATTGTTTAATATTCAACAATTCAACAACTATCAGCAATCCACTAATTATTTATGCTTATGTATTATCTATATAACTGATATCAATTTAGACAGTTTCAATAGTTAGGAAAACAGCAGTTACTGGCAGTCCCTGTTCGGGCGCCATGTTAAAAAATTTTATCAACTTTGTACTATTAAAATTTTTTTATCATTAAATAGATAAGTGAAAGTTCACTTACCTTCTAAATAGGGCTGCCCTGAACTGCCTGCTTTTCCTTCTTGTAGGTATCCGTCTCTATGATGAAGTTCGATTCACTGCGCAACACAGCTATAAACTTTTTAAGAAAATTTAATTCGTATGAAAGATATCCACAAAATATTTACAAGTTATAATGATTACAAGCATAATTTATACGGAGACGGTCTATCGTTATACATCTGTTAGACGCGTCAGCCGTTCAACTGACTGTTTTTAGTCTCTTTCGCCAGAGGGCGTTCGTGGAAGTAAAGTTCTAGTGAACAAACGCGACAGTTACGAAAATAATAATAATAATAATAATAATAATAATAATAATAATAATAATAAAAGACTTCTCTGGAACACGAACTATAGTCAATATATCAGTTTGTAAAAAATTGTTTTAAATGATGAGATATAATAGAATAACAATAGAATTAATGGACATTTCCTTTGCTATTTTAGGTAGCCGTATAATCACAGTTCGCACGCGTGACGAGGACAATGACCCCATCGAGTACGGAATTGAGCCTGCGAAGTACGTCGATGGTTCGGAATACTTCCGCATCCTCAAAGACACTGGAGAAGTTTTCCTTGACAAACCTTTGACTGGACAGGTAACAAAAGTTCTCTGTTCTCATCGTCATGTATTATGCGATTCTATTCTTATGCTGGGCAAACCCAAAAGAATCATCTTGGTGCAAATGTTTATAGAGCAATGTAACTGGTGCACATTTGTCGATGATATAACACATTAAATTTTAAAACTATGCAAGTTTCATGTCACATATTACAGATGTTCTAAGTGAGATCTAGGATACGCATCTAATTTACAATCCAAAAACAGCAGTGCGTTTTCTGCAAGTGGCAAAACTCACCTGGCCTTTAGCTTCGTCGATCCAACAGGGTGGTACACGAAGTGTCTCGCCATTCAGCCATCTCATATAAATTTTAATATTACATATGGAGTGTTAAAAACGCTCATTTCGGTGCTTCTGTTGAAGGAAAATTTAATAGCTGTTAGTAACGGATTCTAGCTTGCTGCAAAACAGCAATTTATAAGATGACAGACAGCAGTTAGTTGAGTATAGAACAGTAGGTGAAAATTGAAATATTGTGGTGGCCTCGCAAAGATGTTTCCGTGCATGCATTGGCACAAAAGGGGCTTCTTGCAAATATACCATTCACAGACTGTTTCAGTAACCTGAAGTCACTAGCTTCAGTATTGGAGAGGAATCGGCGGTGCCTGTCAAGTGTCCGCACATCTGAAATCATCAAAGCAGTTGGCGTGGTTTTGACAGGAAGTCCTAGCAAAGCAACAAAGAGAATGGCTTCCAAGTTGTGCAGTTGTGCTGTGCAACTTCGGAAGACAGTTTCATGTCCCGTGACGGATGGATCTCACGCAGAACATATGTAATAGATAACAAGAATCTTGGCCGTTCAAATTTCAATTTGATATATCACAGGCAAATACGTGCCATTTGCATTATTTGCTATAAACGTTTGCGGCAGAGTGGATAAAACCGTGTGCAACGTTTGCTATAACCATTTGCAGCAAGCATAAAACTATCGAAAATTTGACAAAATAATTTTTTATTTAAATGTTTCGGTTGCACTTAAAATCCATTGAATGACGCATTGTAATTTGAAAATGAATATATTGCTCTGCTTTTCAATTAGTACTGTTACCATTCGGCATTAAGCTTATCTATTGCTAAACGTCCTTTTTTTTTTATATTGGGGGGGGGGATGAGGAAAGTATTGGATTTTCTGCCGGTTATGCATGACATAATATCATTCCATCCTGTAAATAACTTACACGCTTCTTATTCTGTAAACAATACTTAACTCTTTTCTTTGAAATAATCAAGAGATAAACCATCATTTTCAGCATGAATGGAGACTCAAGTAATATCTTAAGAAGAAAGGAGCTTGAGATCTGAAATGCTGCGATTTTCGTTTATAGGTTTACCTGAAGACATTGGTATAGGGAGATTACTGAGCGTTACTGCAAGTTTTAAAAGATGCTATCCGGTATCTACTAAGTATTCTTGGTTTCCGAAATTCTTGGCTCACTTTCAGGATATTATCATTAATGACTGCTGATGCGTTCAGTATTTATTATGGGACATTCTTTTTTTTTTTTTTTTTTTTCCTTTCTTTCGATGCATCCAGAACTTAAAGTCTGGGCTTAAAGCCTGTTATAAACTGTAACGGAATTATAATAATTTGAGATATTACGGAAGCAATACGAGAAGCAGGAGCAAGGATATTAGATAAATACTATTAATTCAAATGAAAATAAAGAACTATTTTTTTATGGCTGGCACTAGCCATTTTTAGGCTTATGCCACCATTAAGGCCAGAAGTGGTGTTCATTTTATTATGGAGGCGGCCACCGTTACCTCCTTTTAAGAGCACAGACAATTTACATTCATGCCTTCTCCGGGATTCGGTATCGCAGTCGGCGCCCTTAACCATTATACCGTCTGGCCAGCAATAAAATACTATTCATTTGTGATAAAAAGCTAGTCATATTTCAAAACAAAGCGATTATTAGTGCAAAAATTTGTAAGTGACCTTGTATAAACGTTTTAAAAATCTGTATCTTCAAATCTTTGAATTAGATTTAAAATATATCGTAAATTAATAAGTTTCATTTATAAATTTTCCGGTGCGTTATTCATATTCGTTTTCAAGGGAAATGGGAATAATATAAAATCCAAGTACTTTAGTCGAGGGCAACTATACAGAATTTTTCAGAATTTATTTCAAAGCCAGCTAACAGGAAAAATCAACGATGCAGTTTCTGGGATTCAATCATGGACCTTTCGATTGTTTGCCGGACGTGCTTCCAATGACGCCACTAAGAAGTAAGAAAGCAATAAGAAAAAGCATGCAGTAAAGAAAAAGAAAGCTTATTTTAAAGTAATGATTAAGTCCTAAGATTGTTGGATTTAAGCGGTGCAAAATGTAACTGTATCAGCTTCCTTAGTACTAGACTGTAATGAAGTGTGGATTAAATAGCTCTTTTTCACTTTAAAACAAAAATTCCTAATCAACTAATCTATGCCTTTGCTAATCTAAAATGCTTTTTGTGGAGGAAAACGCAACTGCTAAATTATTTTTCTTAAAATTTTTCCTCTTTACATAATTTTTGAAACATATAAGTAAATCTAATAACTTGTTTAATAATAATAAACTTACGTAAAAGGTTTAATTCTTCTATAGTGAGGTTTTGAAGAGTTAATTCTTTTTAAATTATACTATCGTCAGCCAGAGCTTAAACCTAGATTAAACGTGGATGTGAGCAGTTAGGTGCGAGGTTAACCACGCGCTTAAAGCAGGTTGATTTCTAACGTCAGAAGTGCCGGAAGATGTCTCGAATAAGGGAAAAAATAAATAAATGAAATAGTTAATAATTAAAACATTTAAATTAAAATTCAATAAAATATTAAGATATAAATAAAAATTTAATAAACTATTAAATTCATGATAAACAGTTAAATAAAAGTAATAAAAAATATCAGACCTTATCTTATTTGGGGCTTTGGCCGAACTTAAAATTTTATTCAAAAACTAAGAAATAGCTCAGCCGGACCTCCGACTGAATTTAAGCCCTGAATCATTTACTATTTCAGGATATGAGAGAAACAAAAATCATCCTTTACCAGTTAAAAGGGGTAAAAGATTAAAGAGTCATTAATGAGAGTAGAGAGGATGCTAGAAACAATATGAGCGTATGGAAAGAAATTTTAAGGGAGAACCATAGCTTCAGAAACAAAGAGAGAAGAGTTCAATCCTTTCTGACCGCGATGCCCAGCCGATGCAATTTTAGTTGACAAGCAGAATGCGATCGGGAAAAAAAGCTTCTCCCGAATTCGATCCTATAACAGCATGAGAATAAATATAAAGTTTGCACAAGTCACAGTTTTCCTGCCCCGTATTTTTTCGTTACGTCGTTCAAAAGTCTGCAGGAGCTCTGCAGTGGGAGGTCGCTAGGGGTGGATCTGCACGATTAAAGGAATCACTTTTAGTACCTTCGGGAACAAGAAATTTTACCCGCTCTCATAATTTCACTGCACTACCTGGAGGATAAACCTTTGACATGTGGGTGGAAGCTTAAACTCCTGTACCTTCGTCAAAGTGCATGTTCCCGAGAGAAAACAGGCATACATCCGAAGTTATAATCAATTTTTAAAGCATATTTATTACTAAAACAAAATTTCTCTGTTGAAACTACATTTCACTATTGAAGTGCTAGAGTCCTTTCTTTAGAGCTCCGGTGCGTTCCGCTAGCGCAATTTAAGCTCTGTCACCAGCAAAAATGTTAAGGAAACTGTAAACAGACCAATGTAGGTAGATGTGATTCCACCAACAGCCTCCTCTGGCTATGGGAAGGCTAAATTCGCCTGAAAGTAATTGCTATTATATACCTGTGAGTTAAAGGTAGATAACTCGTAACTTTTTGAAACCTTGACATTTTTTAAAACTTTCTCGAAAGTTAGAATATTCAGGGTTCATAGCATTGTGTAAAATCATGAAATAGAATCATCCACTTTAGTTTTTCATTCACTTATGTGAAACTTATTTCATTTCCTCTTTATTTATGCTTTTCTTGCGAAATTCAAACTATAAATTTTGCTTGAAAACTAGTTAAACGTTGTTACATATCTGCCACCTGGTGTCAGGAATACTGTGTAAATAATTTCTGGACTGGTTTTTGCAATGGAATTTGAGTAAAAAGCGAAGGCTTGTTTGAGTTTTATTTGCGAAGCCGGAATTTTTCGAGCGTTGTGATGAGGGGAATTAAGACAGAAAAGAAAGAAACATGTCTTGCCAAACGGATGATAAATGTCATGAGGACGCGTCGGCTGTCCTTGATTGAAATGGCCGGTGAAGGTCATGACTGAGATTGTTGCCTCTAGGAGTATTTAGAGTCGCCTTTTCTTTTAATTCTTTTCACTGTACATTGCTAGTCATAAGTTTGACAAGTCATTAATTTTTGAGTCGCGCTCATCTTTCAGCATTTAGGTGGCTACTAGAAACAACCGCTCAAGGCCAGTAGCTGTTAAGTCGTAGTTGACGAGCTGTGTGAAGCACAGGGATTCTTTTTTCGTGTAACGTTGATGATGGTCGATTTTCGCTTTTGTCTCACTGGAATTTCGTGGAAGAAATAAAATGGCTCGAGATCAAAATTAAACTGAGAAAATATTGTCAGAAAAATTCACTTTGATAAGTCTTTTCCGTAAAATTTCAATGGAGAGATTCTTTTTGCAAAAGGTCCCCATAAGTGCATTATCAGAACAAATTTTTTAAGTTTTTTCATTTGCTTTCGATTCTCAATCTTTAGCGAAATAATTTTACTCTTCAGTTGCTATTGCTTAAAAGAAATTGCTGTAGCAAACACTTTCAAAGGAATTTAAACAATAATGACGAGGCTTATCTGCGAAGTTTTATGATGAATCTATAGGCCGCATCAGAAATTTCTATGCGTAGAGTTTCACAGGTATTTTTGTCTAAAAGTAACATTCATTCTAATTTTAAGAAAATTTAATGGAAGATCGAAAACAAAATAATCTAACATCATATCAGCACGACAGTGTCATGAGTTTTGTCCCTTTGAATGTAACCTAAAGCCGATGCCAAAGAAATGAAATCATGTAATGTCGGAGATCATTCCGAAACTCTCCCGCAAAACGTTAGATATAAAGATTTTATTGCAAGCATTGTATTGAAGGCATTTCTATGAGAATGGCGAGCAGACTGGTATGTGCAACTAATATACTGAGATCTCATCAACGGCTACGAACGACAACAAGCAATAGACGAAATGCATTGCATAACTATAATTCAGATTTCATTGCATCCAAACACAGAACATTTTAAAAAGGTTTATATACTTTTGTTCTGATTGGGCTCATGTTCTCACAATTAATCTCTCCATTTCAAACAATCACTGACTTGTATACGCCTAAAGTATATTCCGAAAAACCTCTTTTACCCCACCTTGACAAGCATGGAGGTAAGAAGTAAGGAGGTAGAAGCCCTTTCCTACCTCCATGTTGACAAGCGACAACTGACGGGACACGTGGGCACTGTCCCTTTACCATAACGGTTAATCAGTACAGCATCACGTCCACCATTATCTAATTTAGGCCAGATGGAAGGGCCACACAAGCGTCTCGCAAGGGACGCCCAGACCCAGCGCCCGATGCATCCGGAGGGCAGTCCAGCTGACCAAAGCACCCCCCGGAAATTCACTGCCATCTAACTGCCCAGGGCTCAGTTTTTATTGATTTCTAATAATTAAAATTACAAGGCTATACAAGGGCATAAAGATAGGTACATAGGTTTTTGCTAGTTACATAGAATCCAGATTATTGCCATGTCAGGGCAGGTGATATACTACAGTGAATTATACTGCTATGCAAGCACAGTATTTAAATTGCACACACTGAATGCAGATAATGCACTCACATACACACTTGCAAATAATAACATACACTGGCAAATACAGATGGTACAATTACAGTTAATATGCTTAATGCACACATACAGATAATACGCTTATGGCAAATACAAATACAGATATAAGTTACACCTAATGTTACTGCATGTAAGATGAGAGTTACTAATAACGAGAGTTCCGGAAAGACACTGATAGTACGCTTACAGAAATACTGATAATAAACTGATGATTCACAGTACTTAGAGATACTCTTACTGATAATACACTTAATGCACACATACAGATAGTCTTCTGAATGCAAATACAAATATATGTTGCACCTAATGTTATGTGCATATGAGAATTCCAAAAAGACGCAAGATGAACATTTAGCAACGCCTTCGCCAGGAATCGAACCACAGACCTTTTGAATACCGGCCCAGCCTGCAGAACCACTACACCACGAAGGCACACTAGGAAAGTGGGAGAAATATCTTATAACTGATAATGCATTTTACAGAAATACTGATAATACATATAAGATGCACAATACTTATATACTCTTACTAGGAAGGTGGGAGAAATACCTTATATACTCCCCTTTTTAAAGGGCGACTGGGGTTTTTAGGGCAGCCAATCGCCAAATCCTGGGTGTGGAGAATTCTCATTCAACACTCTTTTTAGTTCCGGCGCCACTGTGGAGACATTTGGTATTTTTTGGAAGCACGCAAGATGAAAATTTAGCAACCTTGACAGTCGAACATCGGAGTTGTGCATAAATGTCCCTGCAAATATTAGGTATCAAGTAAAATGAGTAGCCACGAACGTATGGATGGAGATGGAGAGTTGTCGGTAAATTGGAGGCAGGCCACTCACAAGCGTAAATGGCTATAGAGCTTTGTGTAACGCCCAATGTCCTCTGCAATTTATAGAAACAGTTTCAGGACACTGGATACATATCGAGAAGATCTGGACAACGTTCCTGGACCTATGTTCGACTTTTCAGGGGTGCATTTGCTCTTGGGTTCCTGTTAACGGACAACAATCTTCGTCCACATAGGGATCAGCTGGTCGACGATTACCTGGAAAGTGAGAATATTCGTCACATGGATTGGTTACCCATATCTCCGGATCTTAACTTTGCACAGCACGTCTGGGACGACTTGGGGAGGGCAATTCATCTCGCCATTCCCCTCCGAGAACCAAAATCATTCCGGAGTTTAAAACTGTCTTGCTGCGGGAATGGGATCGACTGCCAGAGGGACTCCTCATTCGCCTTCTGTCTAGTATACTGTCAAGCTGCGTGACCTGTCTGACTGAAAAAGGGGACCTTACCCCATATTAGACTCATTTTCAGTTTCGTATGGATTTTGGACATTCCTGCCCTATGAGCTTTACTAATAATCATACGTACATAAAATGACTTTAAAATGTCTTTTTTTTTTTTTTTTATAAATGACTTTTTCTTTCTTTGTTATAAATGTATATCCGTTTCAAATTTCATTTAAATCTGTTCATTATCTTTTCGGAAGTTCGACATAACGTACAAATTCTCTTAATTTTGCACACACGAGTGTATAAAGCGTGTTTATTTGGAAAGTGTTTGCTTAAATTAAGCAGAAAGTTATCGTAATGCTATGTCAGTAGTTGTTGCTATAATTATTTTTAATGCTGTGTTTTGCATATTTTTTATTGCCTTTGCCTGTTTTATTATGGTATGAAAAAATGCAATTAAAATAAAAACTAATTTTTTCAGAATTGTTAACACTGTGTTTAAATAATTATTTTAAATAAAATTCTGAAATATTTTTAAATTTGCAGGGTGGCAACGATTTTTATTTATACATAACAGCCAATGATGGTCATCAAACGGTGAGTTAAACAGTTACTTTTCAGTAATATATAAATATATGGATAGAGTATGCGTGCGTGTTTGTTTATCTGTGTATGCATATATCTATGTCTGCCTCAATCTCTGTCTGTTTTTCTCTCTTTGTCGTTCTGTTTGTCTCTGTATGTTCGTCTCTCTCTGTCTCTTTCTCTCTATATATCTGTATATATCTTCATAAAAAGTTCTAAAATGCAGAAACCTTTAAAACACCACGTACAGTTAAAAAAAGGAAGAAAAAAAAAATTTAACTAAATTTAGAGTTTCTACACAAAATCAAGCAATTCGGCCAGCGAGCAGGAAGACAAAATTTTCTGTGCACAAAACTAGTTGTTAACTTTTGGTCACACTGCGCAAAAAGGCACTGAAGTTGGTGCACCAACTGACTTAATTCAATATTCTGTTAAGAGTTTCAGTTGTAAACAAATGGCGGCCCCGTTAAATTTAGCTTCACTTAAACTTTTAAGTTGTTGATAATTATACAACTGTTGTACACAGATTAAATAAAAGCATAAGAAACATTAATTGGAACATAAGAACAAAATAATTCAATACTTTTAAAGCAAAAAATACGCAAAAGAATAAAAAACACAAAAGAATAAAAGCAGAACCAACACAACACAAAAGAATAAAAAAAAACTGAGCTCACCTAGCTGGGTTACAGAGTGGGTATATATATACGTCTGGTGCAACCGATTGCAGCCAAAAAGGGAGATGCACAACTACATGTTATAGTATGTTACTTTACATAAGTTCGACGTTCTACGGCTATTTGTTTTGAGTTATGCGAGATACATACATACGTACTTACGTACAGACGTCATGAAAAAAAAAAATCGTTTCTGAATCGATTTTAAATCCATTTTACAATCTGTTTTGGAAAAAAGAGTCCTTTATTTTGTCCTTCCGTACAGATATCACTCAAAAATTTAGTTCAAATGGATTCAAGAGTTTCAAAATTGATAATTTTCGTTGAATTATGATACCCGAAAAATTTTCGCGATTACTTTTTTTATTTTGTACAAAGAAGTAAAAATACTGCTTGTAAGTAGGTTTATTGATTGATTTTTCGAGATAGATTCCAAGTTAAAATTTAAGATATGTATATATATGTAGATATATAATTTATTACTATTATTATTGTCGTTATTATTGTTGTTATTGCTATTATTATTATTGTCGTTATTATTGCTATTATTATTGTCGTTATTATTGTTGTTATTGCTATTATTATTATTGTCTTTATTATTATTTTTTTATGAGCCATCATTTTTTCTTCTTCTTTAAAAAATCGCCAAACTATCGCTAAGATGGTTGCGGCCCTAACACCTAAGTACCGAAGTAAGATATCTAGAGTTAAAATTTAAAATATGAAAAAAAAAATTTTTTTTTAAATTAAAAACTAAAAATTTGAAAACTCTGGAAAATATCACTGCATCAGTTACATAAGGCTAATGATGATTTTATTAAATTAAATGTTATGACGATTTCTGGTGCATCTTTTTATGTAACGCAGTTAGCAACATTGTACCTGTATATAGTATGTTAAATAAATCTTTTTTTTTTTTTTTTTTTTTTTCCCAGTACAAATAACTTATAAATATTGCTTTGTAGCCTTCTAGTAAAATATTTAAAAAACAGCATATCGTTAGAACTTCCGATAGGCAGCCTCGTGCGCTGGAGGTAGAAATGTTTTTTCACGTATAGTGTTGCCATTGCTCGCTTTGAAATTATTGAGTTTGTTAATCGAAAATTCGTTAAAGTTTTACAACATATGAAATACGCAATAGCAAAATTCGAAATTTAAAATTCGGTCTTTCAGGTAACAATATTCGGGTGGAGGACTACGTTATTCAGAATTTGATGACTCTAGGTACCGTTGTTTTCCCAATGCAAAAAACATGACTACATTCATGCAAATTCTTCATTATTTAATTTCTTTAAATTTAATGCAGGGCGATAGTATTTGGCGACAACAATTTGAAAAGTGGTTCAGACTTTTATAATGTTTCAACTCAAAATCCTGTTTTGAGACTAATAGCCCTTCTGAGCTAATGCTCCTTTGGGCTAAAAATTACGAAATCTTAATTTTTATACCTTCGTCTGGTCTTTATACTTACATTTATACTTATTATAAAAAATATCAGTTTTAAGTATGAAAATCATAACCAAGGCCGTATGCAAATTGAAGAGTGGAATGTTTGCATTTGTGCGTTAGTAAATATAAAATGACAGTTTTGAAAGACGTTTCTGATGTTAATAAATTAGTAAGTGACGGGAATTTCTGTGCAGATGATCGTGAAGCTTATTGATTAATAGAATTCTTTTCAAAAGATCTTATTTATAGACTATTAGAATTTGTGTTTTAGGAAACAATGATGGGCTTCAGTATTGTCACATACTCAATACGTAACATATTTTCATTTTATTTTTATCATTTAAAAGCATATTTTTATCATTTAAAAACTTGTAAATTACTTATGAAATTTCTTTCAGAATATCATGTGTAACAAAATCATAAACTATAGTTAATAAAGCGCAAAAGAATTTCATTGATTGGTAGTTAAGGGGGGAAAAAATTCAACCTTGAATTATTCTCATTTGTTTATTGACCAGTGCCTCAAAACGTGTTAAAAAGACGTAAAAAATCAAAAATTTTGAAATTAACTATCTGTGCTAGTTTTTGTCGTGCAGGAACCATTTTTTAACCTAAACGGCTTTAGCCCGGAAAGGCTATTAATTTCGTTTTGGAATTTTGTTTCGGAAACTTTTCAAATTGTTGCCACCAAATATTATCGCCTTGTATTATATTCAAAGAAATTAAATAATGAAGAACCTCCATAAATGTATGCATGTTTCTCGCATTGTAATAAAACAAAGGTACCTAGAGCCATTAAATTTTGAATAACATATATCTCCACCCGAATATGGACATCTGAAAGCCCAAATTTGGAATTTGTTTTATTATCTATTTCATATTTTGTAAAGCATTTATGAGTTTTTGATTAAGAAACTCAACGGTTCCAAAGCGAGCAATGGCAACACTGTACGGGGGGGGGGGGTAAAAAATTATTTCCAGCTTGTGAGACTGTGTATCGGAAATTCTAAAGACGTGGTCTTTTAAAATTAATTTGCTATATTTCTGTTGAATTTAATTTTATAGTTTAAGTGCGAAAAAATTATATTTAATAAATAAAGGTAGCACACAAAACGTTAAAAAAACGCCCCTTTGGGCGTAATATAAAATCTGAAATTTTAAGTTTTTTTTTTTTTAATTTGTATATATATATATTTTTTAAGTACAATCTTTTCCCAAATTTAAATACAGGAACTAAGGATATAAAAAGTTACGTTTCGTATTTTTTATAAAAATTTACATTATTTTTTCTTTAAAATTAAAAATACGAACTGCGACGAACGGTTGCGAAAATAAAGGCCGGATACAGACTCTTGCGGATAAGATGTATACGCACCGGCGGTACATCGTATAACTCCATTTATTTCCATAACTAGGCTACTAATCTAATTACAGCATAAAAATTTCAAATAAAAATAACTTCAATTATAGAGACATTAGGTTATTTTTGAAGCAAGAGATGTGAAAAATGTGCAATGCCCTGGCGTGACTCGAACCTCGGACATCTCGAATACACCCCGAATACGCTGACCACGAAGGCATGCTAAGAAGGCGGGAGAAATACCTTATATACTCCCGCTTTTAAAGGGCGACTGGGGATTAGGGGACTTAATCTCCAAATCCTAGTGATGGAGAATCATCATCCACCACCTTTTTTTTTTAGTTCAAGCGTCATTGTAGAGACATTAGGTTATTTTTGAAGCAATTCGCGCCTATTGTGTTGCCCATTATACCACGAAGACATGCTAAGAAGGCGGGAGAAATACCTTATACGATGATTACAAAAATTTTGTTAATATCTTAAAGAGATGGAAAATTGTAACAGTTATTTAAGAAGATGGTTAACTATAGAACATGTAAGCAAGCGGGAGGAGATGAGAACATCTGTTATAGATAGTAAATTATATGACACATTTTATTGTAATCTGATTTTATTAAAAAACAATTGTTACATATCGCATAATTCGAAGAAATCATTACTTTCTTAATATTATAACTTCTTCAGTAAACGATTTTTATGATTGTATTTTGATCTAATATTGTAATGTATTTTTTCCTTGTAGGCAAAGATTGAAGTTTACATCCGGGTTCTGGAATCGAACAGCGGATCGCCCCCTTCGGATCCTCCTCTGGATGTCCCCTTCAGCACATCTCGTCCCCGTCTGCGGCCCTTTCCTCCCTTTGTACCCAGCGCCCCTTACCCCGCCCACCCCTCCTCCTCCGCTGCCCGACCTTTTCGCCACCCCCCCCCTGCGAAAAGGGAACGCCCCGGCCCCCACCCCCTCTCCCCCCTCCGTCATCCCCTCCTCTGGCAATCAGCCCCCAGTTCGCGAGGTTCCTCCGAGAGAGGGCGAACAGGCGGGGGGCCAGGGGGGGACAATCATAACCTCAACAGTTCTGCCCATCCTCGCAGTGACGGGCCTTGCGCCCCTCTTGATGCTCGTCCTCTGGTTCCTGCATCGTCGCTGCAAGCACAACGAGAAACTAGTCGCAGTAAGTTCAGTGTTTTTTTTTTTTTTTTTCATGCATACAGCATACATAATGTCTATACAGAGGTTCAAGATTGAATTATTAAAAAGTCGAGAATGAAAAAAAAAAAAAAAAAAAAATGTCACTGTTTAACCCTCTACGCGAGTTATTTCTAATGCTGGCCACTTCTTGGCAAGTTCGAAGGGCTTTCTTAAATGTTTTCATTTAAGTTGATTATCAATACGCAGTGAGCCTTATCTCAGTCAGAACGATAGTTTCTGAAACTAATCAGTATTTCTAAACAATGGGAACCACCTCCCAAAGACATTTACATCCGGAGAAGTACCAAAAGCATGTAAAACCGACTATTATAATCTTAAGACGATTCATTTAATTCTTTCATTCTTCCATTATATTTTTAGAATTTCTGAAATGCTCTCCAAATGTTAACTGTATGATTTTACTTGAAAAGCAGAAAGTAATCCTATCTCCTGAGTCAAATGGATGAGTTAGAACAATTACCATTCTTTGTAATTAAGTGCTGGATGATAATCGCATTTTGCAAACAGTATGTAAATATTTCTGGTCGTTCAGTCTTTGAATTCAGCTGATATCATTGCAATTGATTAAATAGTTTCAACTTCTCTTGGCAAACAAATGATATTTCAAGGAAAATAAGTTGAGATAAGTTAGTTATTACTACCACAAAGTATGATATGGCAATTTCTCTTGGATTAATTCACAACTTCTCTTGGCAAACAAATGATATTTCAAGGAAAATAGGTTGAGATAAGTTAGTGATTACTACCACAAACTATGATATGGCAATTTCTCTTGGATTCATTCAAAAATTTCAGTCTTAAAACTCTGTAGATGCCATGTGTATGTTATCATTTTTATTTAATTTTACTCTTATGTTTCTATTATCTATATTATTAGATGTCAGGAGCGTTAGCTGAGTTGATTCATTATTCAGATTTTCCTTTTTCACATTACTCACTGCCAAAGTTAACATAATCACAAAAAACGAACTGAAACATTTTAGCTTTATATGTTTTTTATATTAAAAATTAATAAGAAAAAGCGGTTAAAAGTTAACTTTAGAATATTGTTCACGCATTCATTTAAAATTGCTAATGAATGATATAGAATGTGGGTTAAAATAAATGTATTCAGTCAAGTTGATTATCAATACGCAGTGAGCCTTTTCTCAGTCAGAATGATAGTTTCTGAAACTAATCAGTATTTCTAAACAATGAGAATGGACACCACCTCCCAAAGACATCTACATCCGGAGAAGTACCAAAAGCGTGTAAAACAGAGGATTATAATCTCTGTGTACGTGTACACATACGGTTTCTCTACAGATGCAATAATAATGGCGGCAGGGTACAATCTTAGTACTTTAATCTCAGCGGAGCGACTGGTAAATTTTGCGATAACTTTGATGGTGAAACTACTGTTGTTTTTTAGCTTTTTAGGAAATTTGCAAGAGAACGTATCCAAGTGCCATCTTAATTGGCTACTATGCTACCATTAGAGCGTTTTCTTCTGCGTCTCTTTATAGTGAAAATTTTATTTATGACTCTCAAATTGCTCTTAACCCTTTTGGAAAGAGGACAACACATTATTTTACAATGAATGCTCATCCACTGTGGCATTAAAGGAAATGATCTAGCGGAGGGCCTGGACAAGGCTGGTTCTGAATTACTTTAGCCACAATCTGTTGTTGATTTACCTACTGTTAACAGATTTACTAAATGCGGCAACAATGTATATCGAAGGAGCCCCTTTAGAGAATATGACAGGGAAAACTGCTGCCATCTCCTGCTGAGGATTCCTGTTCCCTAAAACCTGCTAAAACTATGAACGTATTGAATTTTAGTCAGGTTATGGTTATTTGCAAAAATTCTCCATCTCGTGGATTTGGCGGATCCACTATATACCTGTTATGGGGCCTGGCTGGATTGATGACCACCACTACATTTGCCTGATCTGATGCTGCAGACAGTAATTCTGCAGAGGATATTAATTTTTTGCTTATTTTTGGGGACCTTTCTGGGAAGTTCTATAGAAATTGATGTCTGAAAAGCTCAAGTCCGGCGTAGGATTACAAACAAAGCTAATGAAGCATAAACTTTATATCATCAATACAAATCTGCTTCACTTGGTTAGGAAAAGAAAATCATCTAGCTACCTTTTACAAGGTTGGCGCCATGTTGTACTGGACAAGAAGACAGAAATTTCAGACTAAGAAACAGTTGAAAACAGCAAAACGAAAGATAGCTGTTTACAATGAAGAAATAAGAACACTTGGCAATGGCGTCTATCGTTCAGCAACAATCGTTTTGCTTTAATATACTATCAATCAATAGTTGATACTAGTTTTCCTCCTGAAAATAAACCAGAATTGTATATGACAAGAACATATCTGAAAAATATTTCATTTCATTCGATTACCATTCGAAATAAAAATGAGTTTACATCATTTTGGAGAAGACCAAATTTGACCTCTCTTCTTGTATGCATCTTGTAATGTTATTAATTCATTAAGTTCTTTTGCTACCTAATTTGAAGTTGCTAGAAAGGCATTAAGTTCCTGATTCATATCTGAAAAAACTAAACTACTTTTCCTGATACTGGATGGGGGACCACCTTGGCAAAGAACTTACTTTCTTTATCATCCCTATGTTTAGGGTACAATACCTATTACACAAAAAATAATAATAGGGTTTGATGCCAATTTATGTGGCAAGAAATACCCTGTAAGCTTTCAGTATTTAATCGCAATATTAATAGGTTAAATAGATTCTAAAAAGCACTGTAACATTCATGTATGGGGGCCATTAACAATACGTTGACACAAACTATATTCACGTGGCCTCTGTCCAAACTCTCGAAAGTGCGTTCGCGAGTAGCAATACTTATCCAATAAATTTATAATATAATTTATTAATTTAGTGATTATTTGAGAAATCCGAAATTAATAAAAATGGGCAGTCCACCTTAAAACTCTTGTGACGCATTACACTTTCCAGCATTTCCGACAGAATTCATTTCCGAAATTAGAATTTAACAATAATGTAATTTTTTGCGATTATTTTTCAGCTAAAGAAAGCCTCTTCTGGAGTGGCACGGAGAGAAGGCAGCCTTTCAGAAACAGTGGCTTTCAGCTACTCTCCGGCGGCCCTGTTGCGTCCGGCCACACCACCTTTCCTCAGTTCACAGCCTTCCTTGGGAAGCTCGTCACAAAGGGTAAATTATTCTTTCCCATTAGCCTCGAAATTTTTGACTTACTCTTGACTTATGCATGCTAACTGGAATGATCAGTGACCAAGAGCCGTATTCTGCATTGAAAACATTTCTGAAAATCAATAATTTACTGCAATTTTTCTGCTTTATCTTGTGATATAAAACAAAGAGTTCTCATCTATCACTTTGAGTTACCACGTATACAGGAGATATTGGTTCTCCATTACAAACACAGAGATTACCTACCAAAATTTCCCATTCAAATTCTTCAGTTCAATGCTGAATGGGTGAAAATGTACAATCTACCGTTTTTTTTAGGACAGAAGGAAAGAAAATAGCCCGTCTTTCTGGCAGTGATAAAGACAGCAGAAAAATTGTTTGAAGCCATTTGTTCCTCCAGATGGATGTGTGATAACGAACTTTGGAGCGTGGGAAGGAAACGAACATTTGAAATCCAGTCCTTTCGGCCACGTTCACACTGTGGTTTAACTGTCACTAATATCATAGTTAAAATTTTAAGAATCGTATTACCGTTTGCAGTGGATCCCGTGCAGTCCACTGCGTCTAAACAGAGATCCGAACCTTTCTCTTGCATTGATCTCATATAAGCACCATTTTTTTTATCAACCCCCATACAGTCTGGAATATACGATACACAACATAATGCAAATAATTGCTTATAAGTAACTTAAAATTAACAATTAGAATAAAAAACGAACAAAAATTTTGAAAGAAATTGCTTAGATTTATATTTATTTTTTGTATTATTCTTATTTTTACAAATATAAACAAATTTTCAGAAAAAATTTAATAGTTAAATCACAGATTCTAATTGCCCAAAAGTTCGATTTAAATTAAGGTGATGGCTGCCTTTGATGCAATTTTTTTAACATTTGACACAAAACTACTTAATTCTTAAATAACCTCGTTCAAAAATATTCAACCTGTTTCTCTTTTTCCATTCTAGTTTTGAGTTTTGCGCTTTTTTTTTTTTTTTTTTTTTTTGTGTGTGTGTGTGTGTGTGTGTGTTTTCTTGTGCTTTTGCGTTTTGATTTTTATATTTTATATTGCCGTTATTGCAATGTTTTCTTCTTATATTTGTTTCTTATATTTGAGCTTTAAATCAGTAAGTATAAAAGGTCAATTTTATTTGGGAAGTTTCTTCTAATCAATGGAATCTTGATTATGCCTATGCATATTTGTTTATCGACCTTTTGATGATTATTGAACCCTTTAAAATTCCAACATTAGGAAATTCTGAACTTCAACCATAAGTCGAGATTACTTTAAGTCCATAAACCATAAGTCTATAGATTTATAGTCTAAATCACAACCAGTCTGGATAAAGGTTTACCCATCCGCAATGAGATGCAAACATTTTCTGTAAATTTTAAATTTCACTTTTTTTAAAATTTTCATTGACAATTAAAAATGCACTATTACCACAGAAAAGATATTATTTATAGTTAGGCAGATCTACATTTTAAAGTAATAAATATAAAACAAGAGAAGTTTCTTTGAAAATGTAGCGTTTTCTTAACCTGACATAGCTTCTAAATCATGCCGCTTCACAGAAGTCGAAAATGACGCAAAGTATTTCATTAGACTGGGCAATTTTCCTTTATCATATGCTTGTCTTCAGCCCCAGCATATCATGTGTAATATGCATCAGTTTCTCTCCATGGTTTCATATCAAATCAGTTAAGTTCCGTATCAAATGTGATACGGGAAAGAAGTGTCACTGGCGGCTCACCGTATCATATGTTGAAGTAGAATGTTTTATTTGAAATTTTCAATGCGCATAAATGAAGTGAGAGAGAATGCCAAAAATGTCTTGAGGATTGACATTGTTCCTTTCACAGTTACTTTATTCTATGAATGTAAATCGCGCGTTTAGAGTTTAGAAATAATTTCCATAGTGTCAACGGTTAAAAATTAAGTTTATAAATTTTGCCTAATAAACCTTCAAACGTGGAATTCAAAGAATTATACAAAGAGTCCATGGCTGAAAATAACTAGAACTTGATACGTGGGGGTACAACGGGATAGCTGAGTTGAAAAAGATGCATGAATGAATCATAAAAACTTAGAATTTGATTTCATGGCTATACAGCCTACAGATAACCAGCTGTCAGAGTGCTGGTATTCGTCGTTCTGCAGGATCATTAATCTATATTTCAAATTATAACCGAGTTGCTTAAGAAACAGCGATTTTAAAGTGATAAAGTTTCACGATAATTTATAACCTTATTTTAATAACATGTTTAATTTTTAGAATTTGCAATAAATTTAGTAATTGATATAATTTATAATGTATCACACTGATAGTTTTTATGAACATTTAAAAATTCTTCTAACTGATGAAAGATAGTATAACGCTAAAATATAACGTCCTTCGGTGCAAATAATGTAATATTATTTTAAAGTAACCAAAAACGTTCTAGTCGTTTCGATCCCTGCCTCATGAAGCAGTCACTGCTCATCAACGACCGAGCGGTAAAGTTTCTAAACACTGGTAGTTCGAGTCGGTTTCAAATCACTGCAAACGGACTGGCTGAATGGGCATTTTTGTAGATTTCTCCATGTGTAACGTGTATATGAGACAGTTTCCTTTTAACGTCCTCCACGAAGGCATCCATCCGCTTAGCAGGTAGCTCTCGCGTGCTTAGCCATAATCAAACAAAACGAACCAAACTTGCCGAAGAGCTTACAGAGAGGAAACAAAGTGGCGCCGAAAAAGGAGACAGAGATTTTGTGTAACAATTGACCTGCATTAGTACAGGTACGTTGCATACATTTAGCAATCACAGCTCATCCAGTATCGAAGAGAAATGGAGATATCGAAGCAGCTCGTTCACGGTTGTTTGGTGTACGAATTTAAGGTGGCTTGTCAGCAGCTGCATCAACTCCTCAAATATGTCAGGCATTTGAGACAGATGCCATCAATGAAAGCACCGCTAGTATTAGTTTTAGAAATTCAGGTCAGGTGATCTGAGTCTATACAATGAATCCCGCAGTGAGAAACCACAGGTTTTGGATTTTAAATATATAATTTAATAATTTTTTTGGCCTTTGGGCAAAAAAAAAAAAGAGCTTTTTTACAACCTTTGGGACAAAAAAAAAAAAAAAAAAAAAAAAAAAAAAAATCATTGGTTAGTGTATTTGCCCTTTCACAGGTAATTTCCACCTTACCAACCGATTTTGTCGCCTCTAAATGTTTCAGCTTCATGCAGTACATTTACTGTATAACCACCAGAAATGGCTTCAGTGCCACCTTTCCTTTGATGCCCTAAGCACATGCTTATTTTGATTAATGGCTAATCCAACTCTGATGCAAAATAACATGTGTTCAGGACGGTCAGGGATACCATTCAACGACTTCATTAGAAGGTATTATGCTGTTGGACCTAGTGCACACAAATTACAATTTGTTTTATTCCCTAGACAACAATTTCTGTGGAAAATAATTCCAGAATGAGGCAGATTTGCAGCACTTACTCACAGCCTTCTTTGCATCCACGACCACTGAGCTTTATCTCCAGAGCATTTTGTAGCTGCAGGAACCCTAACAAAGAATGCTGGTTGCTGATGGAGATTACTTCGGTACCTAATGCTGGTTCTGACGATCATAAACGGCAACAACCTTTTGGTTACCTTGTATTTGCAGTGAAAAATTGTTTAGTTTTGTGTCGTAAAATAAAAATAATTCTTAATGTATGTAGAGAATTTTAGAGAATAGTTCACGCGTAGAATAGTTTGTTTATTTATATTAAAATGAAAAGAAAAGTAAAAGGAATAATTGTCAAAACATTTTGGACATGTCTTGTCTCTGCTATCGTTCAGCTCTCGTCTCACCGCGCCCTCATGTGGATGGCGCTTTTACATAATCTCACCTAGATACAGTTACAGTCTCACAATGTATTTGATGAAAGAAAAGTGTATTAAATAAAAATTTTAGCTGCTTTTAAACGGCTATTAAAATAAACACCCCAGATTTAAGATTATTAAACCGCTATTATTTTTTTGTGGGGGGATTGCGTGTTCTGTTGCAAGTGTAACAAATGATTTAAAATTAATAAAGCCTAAAATAAATTTGCATTTTTAGCTCCTTAATTGCTGAGTCATATTAGGCTGTTGCTTAATTACAAACGGCTGGTGCTTAATTATATAATTCTAAGGATACCATTTATGAACTTCATCATGAAAGCGCCTTTCATCGTGGAAGACATGCGCAATTTCGCAGAAAATGTCGTGATTGATTAATAATACAGTATTCAATTCATTCTAAGCCTTTGATTGCTTTTGTTTTCCTCTACAAGCGTTTCTTTAGTTTTTATTTTAACTCGGGTGGTTCTAGGTACCCATGCATGAAGTGAAAATCCTCTTCCTTTTTAAAATTCCCTGCCACATCTCCTTTTATTATTGTTAAAACAGGTTCATTTATTTATTTATTTTTATTTGTTAAATTTCTTTCTTCGATAAGGTTCATGATTTTCGCTCCGATCTTTGGAAGAAAGTCTCCGTGTTTACAATGTCTCATCTCCATTTCTTAAATGTATAACTGATGTTACAAATAATTAGTTCGAAATTTAAATAATATAAATTAAGCTATCGATGAAGAAACCTAATGCCCTAATAATAATAATAATAATAATAATTATGACCTTTAAATATACTGAAAAGTATAGAGTTTTCCCAGGTCCTCCCAATTCAAAATTTATGCATCATTAAATCACAAAATACCCACTTACTTTTTAAAAAAATATTAGCCGCTTGCATAGTCAGCCGCCTAAAACAGCTGTTATATTTTGCCTATAAGGTATATGTTATACATGCGGTGATATTAATAATGAATGTATTTAATTTAATTTTACAGGTATAGCTGTTAATTAATATTAATAATCTTGGTAAAAATATGCGTTTATTGCATTTAAGTCACTGAGTTTATTAAATCAATAACAGGAAGATTAAATTTGAAAGAGAAATTGAATATCCTATGCTTT